CCAGCTCTGGTGACTCTGCAAAAAGTATCTGAATTCCATCAGTCTGTGCTAAGCTCTTAGCTCAAACACAGTCCCTCCTTCTCCACTCTCTTTCTATTTGGGGAGTACCCAGAAAGTCCAGAAACCTGACATCAAGCTAGTTACCAACCTAACTCATTTCAGGTCCAAACGTTCTCACCTGCTGGGAAACTCTTACTTGTCCCTCAAGACCATGCCCAGTTTCTGCCTCCTCTTCTAGAGTCTTTCAGTCCACTCTCTACTGAGTAGGCCACAGGCTCCCTGAGGACAAGGCTGGCCTGTACTGGCTTTACCTTTGTTCTCCCTGCACCTAGCATGGGCCTGGCACACAGTAGGTCTGATTAAATTTTCTATGAACCTTTAAAAAGAAACCTTTCTAATTTGATGAGCTTAGTGTGCAGAGGATGTTTTTCTACAAAAGATATTGCAAAACAAAGGCCGTTCTGGAAAATACTGACACTGACAATTGGGTTCATAAATATCTTTTACAGAAGAAGCCCATACTCAAATCAACAGAAAAACAAGTTTACAGATTCAATGAGGTGGTAAGTCAACCAAGCCCAGTCAGAGCATGCCACACTTGTCTGGCACCTTTTAGTTCTGTCCCCTAAGAACACGGTGATCCCCTAAGAATCTAAATGGACATTCTATCACTCTCCTCAGGGAAGGAATGCAATGAGGAAAGGCAGCAGCAACATGGAGACACATGTCTGGGAGCAGGCAAGGACATCTGACAAGTTAAGCTACTCTATTGCACACCCTAAGCCCTGAGGCCAGGAAAGATCACCAAACATCCCAGGGGCTCAGGGCTCATCCACAAAATAGGTACATCATCATCCGCTCCACACACTTTCCAGGACACTGTGAGGATCAACTAGATAATACAAAAAAGCTACGCCACCAGCCAACACCTGGGTCATGGACCAAACCCGGGTCAGAAACACACCTCCAACATTGACAGGAAACAGGAAACAAGCTGATAATTGTTCCATAACTGCACTAGGTCTCCTCGAAACCACACCTAGCCCATACCAACAACTGGCTACACCCTAGCCACAAGGCTTTCAGGAATTCCATAAAGAGACCATGATGGGATGTGCATATATTTGCCATTTGACAGTAGTCAACTGAAGCAGGCTACCAAGGCATACATGACCACCTGCACCTTTTTAAAACTGAGGTTTCCTGCCCTGGCCAGTGTACTCAGTGGTTAGAGCATCACCCCTTGCACAGGAGGATCAAGGGTTTAATTCTGGTCAAGGGCATCTACTTGGGTTGCAGGTTTGATCCCCAGCCTGGTAGGGTCAGGGTGAGTTCAGGAGGCAACCAATCAATGTGTCTCTCAGATCAATGTTTCTCTCTCTCCCCCTTCCTCCCTCCCAACCCCCTCCCTTCCCCTCTAAAAATCAATGGGAAAAAAATATCCTCAGGTGAGGATTAACAACAACAAACTGAGGGTTCCAGGTTAGCTCACTGGCTACAGTTACCATATGTAAAAATGCTGAAAACAAAAGCTGAGAAAAGATGCCCAACTCTCTTTAGTTTTGTAGCAACACCTAAGTAAGGCAATCTAACAAGACACAGGGCCTTTCCAGCAAGATCTACTTACAACTGAAATGTTAAAGTTAGATGAAGGACTCTAGGTGTCTACGTTTCAACATTCCCCTTCTGAAAAATTTTTCTTTTCTCTCTCTCAGTTACAGAGAACACAATCCATTTTCCTCCCTACAAGTTTAAAAAATGCTCCTCAGTTTCTTCGGCAATATGAGACTCCAGCACCAACATTTCAGTCTATACTGTAACTGTTTTCGCAGTGTTTTGTGTTTTTTTAAATCCTCACCTGAGGATTTTCTCTCTCTTTCTCTTTCTCTCTTTCTCTCTTTCTTTCTTTCTCTCTCTCTCTCTCTCTCTCTCTCTCGTTGTTAATCCTCACCTGAGGATATTTTTCCCATTGATTTTTAGAGGGTGGAAGGGAGGGGGAGAGACAGAAACATCGATGTGAGAGACAAATGAAATGGTTGCCTCTCGCACTCGCCCCGCCAAGCCTGCAACTGAGATACGTGCCCTTGACCAGTTTTGAACCTGGGACTCTTCAGTGCACGGCCGACGCTCTATCCACTGAGCCAAACCAGCTAAGGCTCACAAGTTTGTTTTAAGACACCACTCTCATTCACACTAGTTCAAGCACATAAATATATGTGCTTTTATCACAGAGTGGGAAGGGAAAATAGAAGCTTTAAAGCCCTCCAATAGTATGTTTCATATCTGTAAAAGCACCAGATGGGAATAAAAGTAAAAAATACAATAGCTTCCCATGATCAGAATTCAGAATCACAGAACTATGGAGTTAAAAGCATCTAAGCTGCTGGCCTACCTCCCCAGAGTGCAGATGAGGAAAGCCCCACATTCCACCCACAATCACACAACCCTCTCAGGCAGGGATGTTACAACGTCACCGAGGAAGCAGGCAGAGCTCTGACTCCGGCCATCCTGTCCCCAGTATAGCCCTTTGGCACCACAAGGGGACAGTTCCTAGGAGAGAGAAAGCATTCTGAATATTCAAAAACACATACTCAGGGTTAGCACAAAGGTCACTGAGGGGGTTGGCAAACTTCCCACACCAGACCTAAGGTCTGATGAGGAAAGCCTTTCCAAGACAGTTGCAATCATGTATTTCATAACTTAGACACCTGCTTTGTCACAATCACTGGAAAAAAGGGAGACTGGGAGAAGAAAAAGGAAGAAGAAAAATGAAAACTCTTCCTTCTGATGCCTTGTGTCTGCTTAGATCACCATAAAATAGGGAACCTCCCTCATGCTGACTTTAATGAGGGCCTTCCTAAAGCTGGTTCAACTGGTGTTCAAGTCCCTGGACAGAAAAACAAGTTTATGAGCAGCATAAAGTCAGCTGATTCTGACCATGTGCATGCTGTTTACCCTGAGATGACAGGCCAGTCGCTGCCACAGTTTTGATGAATGCTGTAGAGACTCTATTACCCCTTTGAAGGCTACTGGGGCCTCTACATGACTAAATGCCATAAAACGAACCTTGAATGCAGTAAGAGCATGAAAAGGAGGGAGGTCACAAACACCACACTTCAGTGGGGGGTTCCCCATTTCGAGCGCTGAATGGTTAATGCAAACTTGTTACTTGTTTCTCTGACCTGTGAGATATCTCATCACTAAAGAGAAGTCCCCTCCTCTGCCCCGGATGGATCTAGTTGTCATCAGGGGCTGATGCTTAACCCAGGCGATGCCTAGTCAGGTAACAGAGGCAGCCCAGACCCATGTGGCTTGGAGGTACACAACATTCACAAGTGTCAGCCAGGAGACTTCGAACTCTGACCACAGGCAACAGCTTGGTGCTGGGGGAAAGAAGGTGGTAAGGAGGGGCTTACCCATCTCTTCCTTTGCTGACAATCTTCACCTCAAAGTAATAAATGCCACAGGCAGCAGGTATGGGATGGGTGGCACGCACTGAGGCTGCATCTTTGTGATTTTTGCCATGACCTAATTAGAGAGGGCAAGGGATAAATTTCAGCACAAGGAAATGCAAATGGGCAGACACCTCATTGTTCTCTGATCATGGCAACTTCACCACTCCATGGCCAGAGGAGGCTCTGACACAGTCTAAGGAATAATTAGACAACTGAACAAACACATAAACCTCCCACCTTTGGCTCACCTCCTCCTGAGAATAGCAACCCTCCCACACAAACCAAAGGAGGGTACAGGCAATGTGGATACATGAGAGAGATTTCCCAAAACTGCCTGTCATCTAGACTCTCCAGAATACAGGCAGCCCACCTGGGAGAGCAGGGGAGGAGCCCCCCCCCCCAACTTTAGCACAGAACCCCAGGACCAGTCTGGGAGTCTGGCAGATCAGCAAGCCCATGGGCCTCTGGCTCCTGGAGAAGATGTGACTATCCCTTTACCCCTTTCTTCAGACACTGCTGAAACCAAGCAGTGGTAAGAAGGGCCCAGCTGGAGTTGGAGCTATCCCAGGACAAGCAGGAAGGCCCTCGGGTGGAAGGTCCAACCGAGCACTGGGTCTGGTCACACCTGTTGCAGTTCTCTTGACATCGGGTGTTTCAGGGCAGAGCAGACTAGGCACTCCAGCCTCGGCCTGGTCAGCCCCACCACGCTGGACACCCGCAGGGACTAGGGCCTAACTCGGAGCACAGGGCCGGAGAAGGGACGTGATGGGGTAAGGACTGGGCAGCACAGCCACTCGGCAGACGCTCTGGCCTTTTCCTCCCTCCGCCAAACAGGCTAATACCTTTGTAGTGGACGCGGAGGTTACCCTGGGAGAGGCCGATGTAGTTGTACTTGTCCTTGGGGCTCCAGGAGCGCGGCAGCGGCGTCTCGTGCTGGTTGACCGCGGGGTACAGGCGCTGCAGGCGCCGGCTCAGCTCCTGCTCCCCTGGGGAC